AGTTTTAAGACGGTAGCCCATAAGTAGAAATGTCTCATACTGAAACAGGAAATATGATTATGAACTTTTAAAACTACTTTTGTTTTCCATTCTTATGCAGTGAAAAGTGCAGTAGAAGGAGAATATAGTAACTACATTCAGATTTTTAAGTAAGCGTTAAATTTTGCATTTCCCATACAATTCGAGTCGAGAATGATGAGATCTCGACGCTGTACAACTTATTTTTACTTAGCGTGTATTAATTTAACAATACATTTCAGACTTCTTTTATGTGAACCTTTTAATATTGTTGAATTTAATGGTAAACTGCAGATTTTTCATTACTTTTACGAGAGCGTTGATCATAAAAAAGACATGAAAAATTGACAAATACAATTTACCTCTTCATTGTGGCTTCAGATACTCCATTCTCAGTTACCAGTGACATTTACAAACTACATCCTTTTGATTTTTAAAATCAAAGAATAAATTTCGATACTTTGTTTTTAATATCATCGATAAAGCCAAAATGTTTTATTTCTGAAATCAAAGTGCATTATATTTCTCCATGGAGTAACAAGATATATTTAAACTGATATGTTTCGATTCAGAATGTCCAGAGTTATTTTATTCTTTCAGATTCAGTTAACTCAAAGCAATCCCCCTTCTCCCAGTATTTTAATAATTTTTAATTATTAAAATACTGGGAGAAGTTTTATAATTAAAATAAAACAAACTTTCTTCTGCATGAATAAAGCTTCAGTTATTAGTAAACTATGTTCTGTGGTAGTCAAAGACTATTCGAAGTTAATTACATAGCTGTTGCATTTTTAAGTTGGTGCTGACAGAGAAAAGTGTTCGGTTTGGTATTCTTATTCTTATAATCTAAAGTTAAATTTAATAATAGATCAATGTATACATCTATACCTGTCAACTGTTCCTCTAGCATGCAGGACGTTTTGCTGTGTTGTTTAATATCAGTTCTAATTTTACTTTTCAAGACATTAGTTAACTTGCAAATCCTAGAGACTTTCATTTTATATTTTATAAACTTAAACTATTAAATTATTAAATATTCATTTTTCTGATTTAATCTGAAAAGATACCTTGCTACAAATATTTTAGATCAATCTTCAGTTAAACTACCTTGAATTAGATTTGTAGGTAAGAATTTACAGACTTAAGCTTTTGGAGAAGAAAGAAAGAAAAATTAACTTTATCTTTTGAATAGAAAAGAAAGAAAAATCAACTTTATCTTTATTGAGAGTCGTTTTAGGATAGGCAGTATTTTAACAAATTAGTCAAACAGGCAACTAAATAGGCAAACAGCTATGCAAAAGTGTGATGCAATACGATAGTCTCGTGAAAGACAATATCAGTTTTATTAACAATCTAAATCGCCAAATGAATTCTAAGCAGTTGCATTTTCAAAAGAAAGAGGTGTTTTTATATTAAATATGCAAACAAATGCATATTTTGAAAACTTGTAAGCAATGTTTTTTCTCAGAAACATTAAATCAGTGCAAAATTTTAAGATACACAAAAAACAGCTAAAATTTTCTTTTTATAGAACTCAGATTGTCATATATATGTAGAATCATTATGAAATCTTTTATGGAAAAGATTCTAAACATTTGTAAACATTCTAATGCTGGTATAGTAATATCATACCTTTCTTTACTAAATTATTAAAGAAATGCATGAACTTTTCCAAAAGAATGCAAAACGTATCAGCTTAGCTGAATGATTAATTTAACAAGCAAAATTTAGATAAAGAAATTATAATCAAATCTATTGGTATATATTATAGTTCAGATTATAAAAACTATAGATTAACTTCACAAGTCGGACACTAATAGATAAAGCTTTTTATCCTCATATAAATGCAGTGTCTATAAAGAGAACGAATTATTCGTAAGTAACAATTTAACCAAGATGTAGATTGAAAACGAAATTATGGAAAAATAAAAAGAGGCTTGGACGTTTTTTGATTCATGTTTTTTACTTCAAAAGTAATAATAATAAATATGAACGTAGATGCAGATACAGTAGAAAATACTTTAAAAATTGCCAAAATTCTTAGTTTTTCGGTCTAAGTACGATAGAAAACAGATTGATGAAGAACAGATTGGTCAGAAACAATTCTGGTCATCATTTTTTTAACGCTTGAACTCTGAAGAAGAGTATGGGAGTTCTGTAAAGGCTTTTGACATCCTGTGTTACTATAAAAAGAACCATGTTCTGAATTTGGTAAGACGGCACTGATTCAAGCTCTCATTGAAGATGAATTTTCGCTTGCCTTGAAACAGCAGAGGTGAAAAACAAAAAATGTACGCAACCAAAGAGCATTGTGACTATGAGTAACATGAAAAGAGATGCTTCAAAATGAGACATATCTCGAACAATATTGAACTTTTCCTCACAAGTATGCACCGTGTACAATTTTGGCTTTAAACAAGAAATTTAACAGTTGGTGACAAACAAAAGCAAAATTTTTATTATCTTTATTGCGCATGAGTAGCCATGTTGTATACCATTGGAAACATATGCGAGAATTCAAAACTTTTAAATACCTTGCAGAGTGATTAGGATTTTTGAAGTAGGAATCATAAAAAATGAGTAATGCCCTCGCTGGCACTCGAACCTGGACCTCTCAAATACACGCCGACCGATATACCCCGAAGGCATGCAGAAAGGTGGGGGAAAATACTTTATAACCTCAACCAGATATTATGAGATCCGCCTCTAGGTAAACATATCGTTTTAAAAGCACTAGAGCGTTTCTGAGTGGATTAAAAAAATTAAGGTAAATTAATCAGGATTTCTTATTTTTCATAATTAATGTAGCTGTTTACAAATATAAGTAACTAACTAGTTCATTCTCTGTATTTAGGGAATGAATGATGAAAAAGTGGACTGATTTTGACAAAAGTAAATTTAAGCGAATATAAGACGGAGTGTTCGTCACAATAATGTACAAAGCTTTTCATTCGAATGAAAAGTAACGTAGATATTTGAAAAACAGAAGTAAGCTGTTTTTTTACTCCTAACCCATATAAACTTCTTTATGAAGAGTATACACGTGTGCCGAAACAGCGTATATGGTTTAGACATTATAGCCGAGACACAGAAAAACTCTTTTGAGTAATTTACTGCAATACTTGCCAGAACCATTGTATAAAGAATGATAACTTAATTTCTCATTCACAACTAATGTAAGAACCAATATACAGAAAATCCCACCTTAAATCACTTAAACCTTTTCATACAAAATAGAAGATTATCAACTACGTTAGTACCCCTCCTCAAGTTTAAGTTTGTTGACGTTTGAGTTACGTAGAGGTTAGGGGCGCTAACAGTTGCAGTTGCAAATTTGCAAAGTTTTTATCTTCTGCTATTGATTATCTAGTTTTTGTCTTTATTGTTAACTGACCAAAAACCTTAAAAACACATCTTGTATAAACACAAATTTTGTATGCTGCATTTTTTAAAAGTAATCTGACATACAGCATTACATTCACATTCATAATGAATTCTCGAGAAACAGTGTTACATTAAAATTCTGAATTACGAATCAAGCAGCTCAGTTTTTCTTCACGACGTTTCGCCGCTACTTACATACAATTTGTTACTACAACTACTTGCATACGGTTTGTGGTCCATGTCATAATTAATTTTTAAAGGTTTTATTTTTTATAGGCTTACACGATTTGACTAGTTTATTTTCCCTCCAAATTACTATAAAAATTTTAAAAATATATACATTCTGTGAATAGTGTAAATATGTAGCACCATAAAACAACTTAAAAATTTGTCTGAAACTGTTTGCTAGCATATATCTTGATAAATAGTGACGTACTTTTAAAGCAAACTGTATATGCATTTGTATATGCTTTCAGTAGGATTCAATACGCGGCGTTTAGATAGAGTATTTCGGGTATTTGACACGGAGTATTTATTTTCTCTCGAGGGAGCCTTGAGAGTCCGTCCCCAATCGGCGGATCGCGGAATGCCGCTACTAGATTTTCTTTTGGGTGGTAGAAGGAAAATAAAATGCCTTCCGCGGACCAACTGACAGAAGTCCAAACTCTTCGAAAGCAATTGTACCTTCTTTTTCCATGGATAGAACATGTTTTAAATCATATCATTTTTCACACTGCTAATTCATGGACACGAGAACAACAACAGAGACTACTGCTAACACATTTGTCTTCTGGATTGTCTACTTTTATCTTAAAAATAATATTGCCCGGCAATAAGTCGTAAAAACGTAATAATATGACTTAAATTTTGAAATTGTAATACGCATAATATATTTTAAAAAGTTATTTACTTTTAAAAGTAAACAGTGATATATATCAAATTATAGTTGCATTACATAAATAAAACTAAGCCTTGTTATAAACACAAACCGCATTTATAGGTGAAAAACAAACAAAAAAAAAAAAAAAAACCCGAAGTTTGTCCACTTCAGATGCAATGCATTCTCTACAAGTCGTTCCATAAAGTTTTATCGCAGCAGAGATAAACCTAATGTACGTGTATTTACTAAAATATTGAAAATCAGCCTTAGTAATAAAGATACTGCTAACTTTCCTTAAAAAAAAATTATTAACTAAGTGAAAAAGGCCTTTTTTCGATTTCAGACTTTAAAGTTTTAAATAAGAATCTTTGGATTCTTTATTGAAAGGAGTTTAAATGTTCGATTATTCTTTAAACAAGCAAATTTATTTTGGCGTGTGAGAAAAATATATTTTTGCAGACTTGCGCTCCCACTTTAAATGCTTAATTTTTAAATGTATTGGTATATGCAGTTGTTCTTGTCAGCCGAATAACCAGTGAATCTTCCTGACAAATTTATGAGAAATCCAGTAAAGAAAAAATCAAACATAATCGAGGAATCTTAGTTTATATAGAAGTTGTTGAAACTAATAACATTACGGAGGAATTTATAAAATCCAGTGTACCATTTAAAGTGATTCTAAGTTGCTATATAACAAACTCAAGTTAAATTTACTCACCGAGAAGTTATGAAAAGGCGGTAGCACAAACTTGAAAAGTTAAACCAAATGATGCAACACAACGCAGGGGAAATGCTTGTTAACTGCGTCGGCTCTCCTCAGAGTGCGTAATCGAGACGAAAGGTAGAAAGCCTTTTCCGTCTTTTTACTAATCACCATCTCAATTTAAAGGAGGAAAGCTATTAAAAGTCATAAGTAAGCATCGTTAGTATTGTTTGTCACATCATTGGTTAGAAGTCTTATTTGTCGTGTCAAATAGGCGAGGCAAAACCAGAACAATAAGAAAGGAAAATTAGTAACGCACTATGATACTGAAAGGAAAAGCAAATTATAATATTACTGAAATTCATGTCAAGGATTTATTATTACAGTTAGTCCCTTTTTGTGTTGCATTCGATGTGTTTCCAAAGAAAAAGAAAGGCATTATTATAATTAAATAAATATACATATTTTTGAATTTCACGACTTCTAATTTATAATCGATTAATATAGTGATCACCGTTTTCGGCCTTAGTAGTGGCCAACGTCTGTGGACGGAGTGAGCCCTTCATCGGGACGGAAAAACAAACATCCAAAAGAAAAAAAAAAAAAAGGTAGAACAGCTCAAATCGAATCATTTTCCAGCAAAATTGTTTTTGTTTCTGTAAGAAATAGTTAGCAGAATAGTAACATCAGCCGAGGTTAGTTAGCACAACAAGGGGTTTCTTCGATAGTCATCTAGCTTGGTTTGATTTATTTGGTTATGGCAAAGCACGTTGGGGCTAATAGTCGTCTAATCTTCCTGGTAAGATAAAACTTGTAAGGATTGTGTTAATTTACCTAACAATTAAATGTTGAGTTAAAGTTACTTTCCCATCCTTTTTTAATTTCAAGCTTACAACTTCCAGCCAGAACGTATTTTTAGAATCGCGGTTGAATGCAAATGAGGAGAAGTATTTAGCTGTGAAGTTCTACTGAGTTCGTTAGACAGAGAACCAGTGATTCTGACTAGCGCGCGTCCCGCCTTTTTAGGCTACTCTCTCTAATCCCATGGGTACATTTGACATCTGAGACACGTTATTCACTTTTTTGCCCCTAGGAGCGGTTGACGTGTCTAAGACGTCAAACCAAAAATTAAACTCTTGGGTACATTTGACGTCTGAGAGAGGACATTCACTTGTTTTCCCTAGGAGCGGATGACATGTCTAAAACGTTATTTGAGGTTATGCACAATTCTGTTCATTTCATTGTAGCTTGTATCAGTCATAATAGAAGAGGCAATTACAGTATTTCGGTGAACATTATTTGAGATACACTGCCCCATTATGTCAAAACAAGGAATATATTTTATGATAGTGATAGCGAAAGTGACTTTGAGCAATCTAAAGAAGAATTGTTTAGTGATCCTGAAATTGACAATTACATTTACAAAGCGAAGGTGATGAAGACGATATTGAACTAGAAAATGATGACAATTGTAATATAATATCAAGGTTTCGAAGACGCACAAGACGTCTATCAAGCAGTGATAGTGAATCTTCTCGTGAACCAGTATCAGAGGAATTCAGTTAGATTCAGAGGAATTCAGAGGCTTATGGGAAGAAGAAGAAAATGTAGACGATATAAAAAGTTTTACTGAAATATCTGGAATTAATCCTTTGAGCCTGCGTAGACTAGGTAGTAATCCTACGCCTTTAGATGTTTTGAAAGAAGTCTTGAATGAAGATTTTTGGGACACTATAGTAGAAGAGACGAATAGATATGCCAGACAAAGGATAGAAAAAAAAAAAAAAAAAGGTTGTGTAAAAAAAAAAAAAAAAAAAAAAAAAAGTGGTTTCCTGTAAGTTCTGATGAAATGAAAGCTTATATTGCATTATGCATCTTGATGTCGCACATGAAGAAGCCAAAAATGCATATGTATTGGTCAAAACGATATGCAATAAGTACTCCAATTTTTGCCAGCACTATGGCACGCGATAGGCTTTTGATATTTCAAGCTTTCTACATTTTACGGATAATGAAGAGGAAAATAAAGATGACAGAATAAGAAAGATTAGAAATATAGTGGATTACCTAAATACTAAATTTTGTTACATTTATACTCCTAAAGTTAAGTAGCTATTGATGAATTGCAACTAAAAATTATATCCGTTCGACATGCAAAAAATTTCTCAAATAAATTCGTACTCAAGGGGTTAAGATATTATTACTCTCGGCCGTACTTTATAGGCCCTTGATAGCTTCGCTGTTATTTAGCGTTAATGGGCCAACTTTGTTAGAATCTTGATAGCTTCGGCTATATCTTTTTAGTTAAAATTAGTCAAGTTTTATTTCTTAGTTTCCTAAGTTCAAGCCCGAGTGGAGGCTTTATTGTAAAACTCCAAGAAGGAGTTCTGTGTATTTAATTTTGAATAATAAAGGGTATTTAACCTTTCCGAAGTTTTATTCCCTGTATCAAGAACTCAATCGATTATTCGCTTACCAGTTCTTAAGATTCTTCAACTTTAACTGTAACTTAAAAGTACACAGGTCTTACAAACTAATTAATTAATGAAAGGTAGGTGTCAAGATCAAAACGTGATTTTACTTAGTAATATATTTTTAACTTCTTTTGCCTTTATTTTAATAGCTAGTGTCCTTCGAGAATTTAAAGTGCTCAGTTTGTTTTTCAAAATTTTATATTGCCGTATTACTTTTCCTTTAGTTTTTTTAAGTTAAACATCTCAACAACAAACTTAATTTATAAGCATCTCTTAGATATAACGAGTCGACATTTTGGCCCCTTCCACTTTCGTATACATTTAATGTTATTTTATACGGACCGCCGAATTTCTGAAAATAGAATATGAATAATTTTATGTGTATATTTGACAAAAACTTTTTTTTTTCATTTTGAACAATTTTTTTCAGTAATTTCTCCAAGTTTTAATCAAAAAGTTGCTCTTAAAATTATCTATGTTTAGGTTATTAGGATTCGAAAAACCCCTTTATGTTCCTAAAAATTCACCTTCCCTTTTTACCTATGTTTTTTAACAAACACTATTCGAAGCAATGCGACCCCCAGATTTTGGAAAGACGCAACACACGGATTTTAGGAAATCCTATTTTATCATAAAAAGGATTATTCTTAATTTATAAATGTACATTTTAAAAGGAGATGTGTATTTCGAGGATTAATCATGTCTTTTATGGTAAGTAATTTTTTGTGTGCATTAATGTGTGGTGAAACTAAAAAGAATGGAATAAACAACAACCATCAAACAACATATATATGGTGGGGACTAGCCATTATAGACGTTAGCTACTACTAAGGCCAGAAGCAGTGATCACTTTATTAGGGAGGTACCCATGGAGGTAGGAAGTAAGAGGAGAGGCTCTAACTGGTTTTTCTTATACACTGCTTTAAAGCAGTGGCGCACCCTTTGTTCAAACCAAAATATTCAGTGACCTGGCCATTAAAAAAAAAAAAAAAAGATCAATGAGTGTTGATATGTCGGCGGTAAACATTTTGCAATTATGTTCTAAATATACTCATAAATGTATATATTTTCTTTCTGTACCATATTTCAAAGTCCTGAGTACGTGGAAAGAATACATTTTTTAACAACATTTCACTCTGACCAGAATTAAGTGCTATACTTTTCCCAGAACAGTTTAATTTGAATGAAATATTTTCGTAAGTTTTCGTTAATTATTTTAGAAAGAGATTTCAAGGTAATTCGATTTTATTCGGCTAACTATTCCAAAAATTAAAATTAAAGTTTATCGCATTGTAAATATTAAAATTATGCATTATTTCTTTCCTATTTACAGAGCTTCTACTTGAAACACTTTCTCATATATGAGATGATTTTTTAGTTTCTAAGGTATCCTTTAAATCAAAAATCAGAGTCACTTTAGAGAGTTATGCTCTGTTCGGTTCATTTCGAATTAGAGCATCTTTTATTTTAATAGTGAAATACGTTAAATATTGCTGCTGATTTCCATATACTTAATTTCCTTTGAATATTTCTAAAAGGGAATAAAAAAAAAGAGTTCTTTTTAATATTATTTAAAACTTGTAACTGAGTCATTATAAAATAATTCTTTTGATAGTTATAATTTTTTTTTCCTTAATTTCAACAATGCACATTTCAAAACTTATTCTTTACTATTTCCTCAAGTACGCATCTCATCGAATTTGCTTTACAACACCTTTTAACAGATTGCTTTACACTATGAACAATTCTTGCTTAAATAGTTTCATAGACGTATTTGTCAACAGAATTTCAGTTTATGTTTACAGTTAAATGTCAATCATTTAGATAATATTTATAATCATCATAAATTTAGATATATTTTACAACTGAACTTCTCCACAGTAACTTTCACAGGAGTTTATGAATGAATAAATCCTTCATTTCCAAGTACATTTATACATAATTTAATAAATATTTATGTATTTCGTTAAAGGCAGATACATGCTTTTTGCAGGCATATGCATAAATACCCATACACATTTCATATTTTTCGTTTTCAGCGGGTGAAAATCTTTAATTTCTACGCATTCATTATATTTTTGGAGTAAAGCAATTTACAATAATTTAGCATATATTAGAATTTTTTACATAAGAAATATGCATACATATAATTTGAATGAAAATGACATGCATTATTTTTAATATGCACTCAAAGGGAAGTTTTCCTTCGAAATTGCTCCACGAAGACATCTCTCCCTTTAGGCAGACAGCACCTACACGCCTTACCCTATTTAGAAAACGTAAACTGACCTACACTGGTGTGCAAAAATTAAGAACGAGACGGTTTTTTCAATATAACTTTGTACAAAAGCTTTCCAAATCAACACATTTAATACCGTAAGATCCCCAATACGTAAGGACATGAGTAATGTAAGCAACACTTACTAAAAGAGAAATCAGAGGGATAAAAAGAAGCTTTATTGAAAACGTAGCATGGAGCGCAATGCGACTGAAGGCCGAAACGTCCCTGTGATGGGTGTCCAGCAAGAAACACCCGGTCTTTAATAGGGGATATGATCTCCCCTGACTGCTAATCAGGTTTCACAGCGTCTGCCCATGCTGAGAATGAGGGTGTCAATGAGTTGTTGAGGCATTGCTGCCCATTCGTCTTGCAGTGCCAATCGAAGCTCCGGAATCGTTACTGG